CCTGGTTTGGTACAGGCTGGGATGCGTTGGGACGAGATGAGATGCAATGGGTTGGGTTGGGACAGGCTGGGTTGGGTTGGGACGGGATGGGTTGGGACGAGACGGGATGGGTTGGGATGAGATGAGATGGGACAGGATGGGTTGGGATGGGATGGGGTGGGGTGGGGTGGGATGGAGATGGAGATGGAGACGGGATGGAGATGGAGATGGAGATGGAGACGGAGATGGAGATGGGGATGAGATGGGATGGGGATGAGGATGGGATGGGATGGGATGGGATGGGATGGGATGGGATGGGATGGGATGGGATGGGATGGGATGGGATGGGATGGGATGGGATGGGATGGGATGGAGATGGAGATGGAGATGGAGATGAGGATGGGGGTGAGGATGGTGAATGCATGGAGATGAGGATGAGGATGGGATGGAGATGGAGATGGGATGGAGATGGGATGGAGATGGAGATGAAGATGGAGATGGAGATGGAGATGAGGATGGGATGGAGATGAGGATGGGATGGGACAGGATGGGATGGAGATGGAGATGGAGATGGAGATGGAGATAGAGATAGAGATAGAGATGGGATGGAAGTGGAGATGGGATGGAGATGAGGATGGCCATAGAGATGAGACAGGATGGGGGTGGAGATGGAGGTGGGGATGGAGATGGGACGGAGATGGAGATGGGGGTGGAGAAGGAGATGGGTTGGAGATGGAGATGGGATGGAGATGAGGATGGAGATGCGGATGGGATGGGACGGAGATGGAGGTGGAGATGATGGAGGTAAGGATGGAGACGGGGATGGAGATGGGGATGGGATGGAGACCGGGTACAGGGATGGGGACGCTGAGCCAGCGGCTGCAGTGGAGGGGGACAGGACGGGGGGTGACGTCAGCCCCCCCAAGGCCCCCGTACCGTGGTGAGCCGTCGGAGGGAGCTGAACCTCCCCTCCCACGCCGCGGCCGCCTTCCGGAAGGCCTCGTGTCGCCGGATGAGCTGCTCCACCTCGTCCACGCTGCTGCCCAGCTCCTGGCTCTTCAGCAGGGGCTCCTGGGCCGTCAGCCAAGCGTCGGCCACCACCGCCTCCTGGGCGAACTGGTGCACCTCCAGCACTGCCGGACAGACGGACGGGGAGGGGGACGCGCTCGTGGTGGCACCTCCCCGAGAGCATCCCGTCCCCGTGGCGGTGGAGGGCCTGACCCCCTCCCTGAACGAACCCCCCACCATGGGTAGGACAGGAGATGGGTCCTCCAGATGGGCGAGGACTTCCTTGGTTCCATGGATGGGAGAGGACATGAGTCCTTGGGATGGGAATGTGATGGGAGAAAGGTCCTTGGTTTCATGGGTGAGAGAGGACATGGGTCCTTGGAATGGGACAGGAGATGGGTCCTCCAGATGGGCGAGGACTTCCTTGGTTTCTTGGGTGGGGGACGACATGGGTTCCTTGGGATGGGGATGGGAGATGGGTCCTTGGCTTCACGGGTGGGAGAGGACATAGGTCCTTGGGGTGGGGATGGGAGATGGCTCCCTGGCTTCCAGGGTCTTCATGGGTGCGAGAGGACATAGGTCCTTGGGATGGGGATGGGAGATGGGTCCTTGGCTTCATGGGTGCGAGAGGACATAGGTCCTTGGGATGGGGATGGGAGATGGGTCCTTGGCTTCATGGGTGCGAGAGGACATGGGTCCTTGGGATGGGACAGGAGATGGGTCCTCACTCTGCTGCAGCCATTCCCAGTGCTTGTCCCACTTCTCTGTCATCTCCTTCTTCTTCGCCAGCAGCTTATCCACGTGGGTTTTGATCTGCGGGGGTGGAGAAGATGGGTTGGGACACCCCAAGTGTTGTGGGTGCCCACCCCCACCCTGCGATTGTCCACCCTCGGTGGCACCTCGTCGGCCGCCGGGCTCTTGCTGAGGATGAGGGTCTTGCCCAGCTCCAGGCAGGCGGCGATGCTCTTGGCGCGGGCTTCGATCTCACTCTTGAGACCTTGGTGGTCGTTCATCAGCAGCTCCACCGAGGAGACGTCCCTACGAGTGGGGACGGGGGCTGAGAGGACCGGTGCTTCCCACCAGGATGGGACAGGAGAGGGGTCCTTGGCTTCATGGGTGGGAAAGGACATGGGTCCTTGGGATGGGACAGATGGGTCCTCCAGATGGGCGAGGACTTCCTTGGTTTCATGGATGGGAGAGGACACGGGACCCTGGGATGGGTGAAGACTTCCTTGGTGCCATGGATGGGACAGAACACGGGTTCTTGGGCTGGGATGGACCAGGACACTGTTCCTCCAGGTGGGACAGAACACGGTTCCTTGGCTTCATGGATGGGAAAGGACATGGGTCCTTGGGGTGGGCCAGGAGATGGGTCCTTGACTCCATGGATGGGCCAGGACACGGGTCCTCAGGATGGGACAGGAGATGGGTCCTTGGTGCCATGGATGGGACAGGACACAGGTCCTTGGGATGGGACGGGACATGGGTTCTCCAGGTAGGACAAGACATGGGTGTTCGGGGTGGAACAGGACATGGGTTCTTGTGATGGGGCAGGACATGGGTCCTCCAGGTAGGACAGGACAAGGGTGTTTGGGTGGGACAGGACACGGATTCTTGGTACCACGGATGTGAAAACTCAGGGGTCCTCCAGACGGGCCAGGGGACACTTCATTGGCTCCATGGATGGGCCAGGACGTGGGTCCTTGGTGCCACGGATGGGACTGAGCACGGGGCCTTGTGGTGGCCCAGGACGTGGGTCCTTGGTGCCACGGATGGGACTGGGCACGGGGCCTTATGGTGGCCCAGGACGTGGGTCCTTGGTGCCACGGATGGGACTGGGCACGGGGCCTCATGGTGGCCCAGGGCATGGGTCCCTTGTGCCCCAG